GAGCGAGTGTGTGAGTCGAAACCCTGTTCCCCGACAAGTCTCATTTCCCTGCCAGGAGCGCGGAGCATCAGACGCCGCGACGGACGGAGAAGATATAGAGGCCTTCTTCTCATTAAGGTTTAGGATTATTTAGGGGGTTTGAGGTGTAGGGTTTTAACGTGTTTCAACAGTTATGGCGTACCCTAAACCGCCAGAACCGGCTTTAGTGTAGGTTCCTAAGATATCAATCTCTTGGGACCCTACAAAATTTTAAGAAAGAGGTCTTGGGAGGTTTAGGCTTATCGCCCCCCCCCCCCCCCCCCTTCCGGCGAGATTTTGTAGAAACCCGAAGGCCTAAATCCTCAAGCAGTGGAAGAGGTCTCAAGGATCCTCACGACATTTGGTGTTGTGCAGGGTCCGCAGACTTCTCGTTTCGTTCAGAAGATGACGACCTATTAAAGCAGCTCTGCTGAGGAGACACCAGCTGAAATCCGAAGCTGGACTTAGCAAACCCTCGTCTATGAAAGAACCCTAAACCCGAGGGTGGGTGCCGTCCCGACAAAGTCTGAGGGTGAGCCTCGACAACAGAAGTCGGCTGCGGTCCAGGTCGTGGCGCAGCGCCCCGCCCACGCCAAGGCGATCATGCCCGGTCCCCTAAAGTTTCATGTGCAGCCTCAGCCTGAAACGGCAGACTGTTTCATTTGGGAGGTCACTGCTTTCAATGAGGGCTTCTTATCGATGCCAGCTGCATGGCCACATTTGCTGACTTTGGTTTCAACAGTTCCCAGGTCCATGTGTTTTGGAGCCGGTGGCGATCACGTTGTTACGAGTTCCTCGGTGCCTTTGCTGCAGTCGAAGCAGCACCCGCGCTGCCCCAGATGAACGGCTGAAAGGGATGCATAGGGATGCTCGCTATGACGCTGTAGTTCCGTGGAGCTCACCAAGGACCGCACCGTGCGGGTCTTCAGCATCCAGCAGAGGGAGTTCTTGGAGAACATGACCATCGAAGACACAGCCTGGGTCACTCGTATTGCTCAGATGTTTAGGATTTCTTTTGGGGATCATAGTTGCTCATCCGTTTTGATTCGTCCGTTGTATGCAATATCGGGCAACACATACCGAACTTAAAAGTTGATCATGCAAAAGCAGTCCGACAAGACTCGTGCTTTGAGGGAGAGGGGGGGGCAGGGCGGCACCAAATCCTAATTTCAAGGATGACCTGTGCTCTTGATGCTTGAACCTTCGACATGAAGGCATTCCACGGTGACTTATGCACTGCAGCAGACTCTCAATTCTTGCCATACTCAGCTTCCAGGTCGTTTGCGTGGTGAGCTTGCCGAAACCTGCCGGCGCATTCATCACGGCCAATGCCAATGCTGTGCTCCAGCCCTTCGCCTTGCATAACATGCATTAGAGTTTTGTTGGGAAGCTCGGTGGATGCATCCTATGGCGCTTTCAAGGAACGACACACGAATCCTAAAAGCTTATGCTGTATCATATAGTATCACAATTATACTATACTATACTATACTATACTATACTATACTATACTATACTAAAAGATACACTATAGCATACTCCTAGTATACTATATACTACTGTTTTATACGGCAACCCGAGGCTCCGTGGTTCCAGCGTGAAGCAGCAGAAGGCTCGTCGCCGTGGTCTTTTCTGGGTTTCGAGGTTAGTGTTTATATATAAGGGGGTTAGGGGGTTTCTGAAGGGTGTTAACTTAGAACATGATTATTTTCATGTTCCTAAAGAAGGCACATGGAATCCCAGCACTAATCATTAATCCTAATCACCCTCATCCCATGTTCCAACTTTCTGTGGTTCTCCGTAGGGTTGTCGGAACTTGGGATTTTGGAGTTTGGCAGGATGTGGTTCACCGGTTGCACCATTCATGGAACTGTGCTGCAGTAAACTCGAGACCGCCAGCTCTGAAGGGGAGATAGGCGGAGCCGAAACCGGATAGTACCAGGGGCTTGCCGACTGTTTCAACAGTTCAATCTCTGTGGGTGAAATATGACGGGATGGATCCCAAGCCCTCCCAAAAAAGCAAGGCCTGAATCTCCTTGTATCTCCGTGTCACAAAGTCCTATAAATTGCAGCGAAGTTGAGTGCAGGTTAGACTCGACCACTACGCGCGGTCGATGGTGCTCGTGAGCGATGGTGCGAGCCTCACTCACTATGGGCTGTAGGGTTGTATTCGTGTGTTGGGAGTGTGACATGGAGAGACGCATCCTCCACTTTTTCCGATCGTGATTGACAGTTCAGCACTTGGTGTCTAGATGCAGAAGCATGAAGGCATCAGGCTCTGTGTGTGGATTGGTTGAGGGCAAAGTGCCAGCCAAGGCTGAGAGAAGTTTCGGTAGTTGACGTTTGCATCCCACGAGTGTGCCACTTTGCCTGAACACCCTTCGAACCCACCCGAAGCTCAAGCATGGGCCAGTCCTCGGCATCTCACTCAATTCGGAGAGGGTGAAAGAAATTCAACGATGTTCAGGTCATGGACCCATGCAACAAGTTTTGTAAGTATGTCAAACCTCATCGCAAGCCATGGGCTAATGACCAATAACAGAAGCATAGGCGGGGTGGACAGATCGATTTGGCCGAATTCCCCAGCGTCTCGATGTAGCACCATACGCCGGCACAAGATAGTTTGCAAAAAACATCGGAGTAACAGCATGCGCTTGCGGCAGTGAGTTCTTGCATCCGTCACGATAAGAGAGCTCCTGCACACCTCAATGCCCTCGACGTCAGCCTAAAGTCGTGTCCGAAGGCAAGCGCCTGCTGGTGGGAACGAGCCGTGGTCGCATCCACGCCTTCGACGTGACCCCACAGGGCCTCGAGAGGCGGCCATGGGCCCTCGGGGACGCTTTGGGTTTGGCACTTAGGATTTGTTCTTTTCTTTAAAGCCTGTTGTTTCAGAGGTTTGCAAGAGATGGAGGTTCAATGTTCGAGCCCGATGCTTATGAAGAGGTATCTCTGAGTTCAGGGTTTCGGTGTCGGCAATAGGTTGTGCAATCTTGGGAGTAGCTTGAAGAGAAGCTTTTGGGAAGTCGCGAGACCTGCAGCCCGAAACCGTGAGTAGGCGCAGTAACGAAGACTAACGGTTCAAGTAGATGGAATCTGGGCAAAACCTTGACACCCCCAAGTGTTCGGGAGGTCGGTCGGGTCCGGATGGGCATTGGTGGATTTGCAGGCTTGCTTCGATCTCAAGGGTGAGTGTTGAGCAATGGTGTTTGTCGAGTCGACTGCGAGGCCCTTCAACCTGCATCCTGCAACGTCGAAAGTCCCTAAAAGGCAAGGTTCAGTTTCCCGTCTCAAGACAGAACTCAAAGAACAGACTGACGGCTGCCTCCCTCTGGAGACCCACTGACATTCACAGACGTGCTTGGTCCCATAGCACCCGGAAGCCCGCCTTCACAGCATCGTAAGCCCAATAGAGCTTCCAACTAGCCCGAACCCAAGGGACCCAAAGACCAAGCCATGAAAACCCCAAATTCAGACCCAGAGATCCTTCGCACCGTTAAACGCACTGCAGCAATGCCCGAAGCACAGATAGCGGCTATTAGTTCCTAGTAGTCATCGGCAAGCCAGGTAACCCCTGTTGGCCCCAAAATCCTGTATAATAATATACACATACAACCCTAAATATTACCTAAACCGGACCCGTACCTCTTGGGCAGGCTCGAAAGCCAACAGATTGGGAACACCGCCCTGACCTGTTTGACGCCGGCGCCTTGTGCGGATGCCCCGCCCTTGCTGGCGGCCAACTGCATGGCCCAAAACAATGCCATGGACCCGACGAGGGTTTGGGTTTCGGGTTGTGGGTTTGATGTTGTGTCGGATTTCGGTAACTTGCTTCAGGGTTGTCTTAGGCTGTTTCCGCTGCTTGACGCTTGGAACTGGCTTCTGGGATCCCGGCCCGGAGCCTCCGTAGTCCCGAATCCACTGCCGGAGCCATCATGACCCTCAGCAATTCCTGCAGGACAACACAGTCTGCATCCTCCAGGCAAACAAGAACCTTGGCTGATTTGGGTGAGGCGCGTGCGACGAAGACAGTCCACGAGCGCGCATCGGCGCACCAGGAATGACATGAGACTTGCCCACATGCACCAATCGGGGCTAGCGTCCACTCAGGACCATCACGAATTTCACGGTGCTCAAGCGCTTCGCCAACCCTCACAGGCCTTCAGTTGTTGCTTTCCTACGTTGCGCGGTTCTAGCTTCAGGGCTGCAAAGGACTGTGCACGCTTTAGAGGTTTTGGGGTTTAGGATGGTTTTGGGTTTCGGGGCTTGGGGTTTTGGGTTTCGGGGCTTTTGGTGGTTGTGAGGGCACTCCCAGCTCAGTGCAGAGCCCAAAGCCTGAAGTGTCAGACCCGATAAATCACTGAGCCCTAGAGAAGCTCTAATATAGGGGCCTTTATAATTAGAATAGGGTTTCGGCCCATTATTCTATATTTATGATAAGGACCCTCCCCAAAAAAAATCGTATTAGTATTTATTTACGCAGGCCCCTACACATTACCCAAAACCCCGGAACCCCATATTTTAAAGCGGTCAGGCTGCTGCCCCTTCGGCCTGGTCCTCGGTTTTCGGTCAGAGGAGGGCGTGACACGCCTTTGCTTTCACGCAGGGACATGGTTTGAAGCTCAGTTGAGGGGTTTCGTGCCTTCGTTTGGAGTGGGTTGTTGTAGACTTGTATAGTGGTTTGATGTGGGCAAAAGCTCCAAGGCCCGTTGTAAGCTGATAGATCCCTAACCGCACAAAAAGCTTCGTAGATCACACAGCTTGCACACCAAAACCCTGAGCTTTTGTTAATCAAGGTCCTGCCACGTCCCTGGTTGCGCTGATACGGGCGAGGACAGCTCTTGTCTCATTGAGCGCTGCAGGAAGTGATTAGTCTTCCGGGGCAGCTGCTCAGACTGAGAAATGTTTGAGGTGTCGTTGTTGTAGTACACACTGGCTGATGATTTCCGATTGTACATAGTTCGATTAGTTTTGGTTGTTCTTCTGGTTTACGATGTTATTGTTACTGTTTAAACTGTTCCTGCCAATGTCGTTTTTCGACTTTCTTCTGCTTCTGGTGACTATGAAACCAGTGATCCTCATCCCGAAAGTGGTGGATAAAACCCAATCTTTGCCGAAGCATATCCGTCTCGAAGCTCAAGCCCTTAGCATCACGGCGGTTGTCTGTCTGTCTTTGATGTATTTCATCACCAATCAACGTGACGCTTTGTTCGCTCTTTGACAGAGCCGCGGCCCAACAGTGGCCCCAAAAGCCGGAAGCGCAAGCCGTAAGCCCCTCAAAACTTTGTCGACGAAGGACGTTCTGAGTGCGGGCTTCCTGGCCACGGGGGCAGAAGATGGTTTCGCCGCTTTGCTCACTTGGAGTTTACTGAGTGGAGGCTTAGGGCTGCTGGGACGTCGGGATTCAGGGTACAAAATTTAAAATGTGATTACAAGAAATTCGGGGGGTATGTCCTTCTCTGAAGGCTGTTTCAGAGAGGTTCGGATTCTCGGCAACGGTGCGTGGTGGTAGGATCGGGGAAGGGGGGGGGGGGGGGGGGGNNGGAGGGCGGCCTATAAAACACATGAGATCGATTTGAATTGTCCAGGACAGGGGTGGTGATATCGGTGAAGCAGCTTCGAGCGTACCGGTTCCGATACTCAAGCACCAACAGTATCACCGCAACTGGGAGGAAGTGGTTCGCATCTGCAGAGTTTACTTCATGCCCCAGACCTGCCAGCAAGCATCCCGAAGCACTGGAAGTTCACCCAGTCTGGAGCAACGAAGATCTTTGCACTCTAAACCCTCATCAAACCGCGTGAAAGAATCCACGACACCTTTTAACCCCAACTCCCACACTTTGCAGACCAAACCCGGCTGCCCAAGGTGCGTGTGTTCGACCTGGAAGGTCCCTTCGGCAGCATGATGCTGACGACACGTGATAGAAGCAACGACAACAGTGATGCCAGCGACAGCAAATATCAGCGCAACTGTACCAGCCATGATCATGACATCGGTTTATGATGGGCGGATTGCTTTAACTTTAATTAACCGTACGTATAGTATCTCAAGAATACGCATGCACATCGCTACCATGACGTTGTTGTCTTAACTGCCATCATCATGAAAACTTGCCAGGTACCTGTATTAGCCGTGACAAGCAAGCGGCCGTCGCCGTCGCGGAAGTCGTAGTCGCCGTAGTAGTGGTGATTGTATTGGTAGTGGTAATACTATGGTGTGACATCTCGCCATTCATGACATTAGCACTTCTTGTTGCGGCTTCTGTGTCAAGGCACATTATGAGAGCCCATCGGCGTGTTGGTACTCGTTTCAACACTTGAAAGTTCACTGAGCGCAGATGCTCAACACCAAGCTCCAACCCTGAGCCACAAAGCCCTAAGCCCCTAAACCCGAA